CTCGCTCTATCCATGAACCCAGGGCCGGCCAGGCCCAGTGCAGGCAGGGCGACTGTCCAAGGCCCAAAAAAATTGGGGACACCAAAATTATTTGGATGGTATATTTATATATGTTTTTATAAGAGTATAAATTTAAAAAAGTTGGTTTAATGACAAAGGAATTTAACTAGAAGTGGTGGTTTTGTAATTTGAAATTAATGAGAAGGTCTTGGGTTCAAGACATCACGTGTGCTTATTTACTTTTCAATTTTTTCAATTTTTTTTTCGTAAGAGTATAAATTTATAAAATTTGGTTAAATACTCAAGAAGTTTAATTAAAAGCAATGATTTTTGTTGTTTAAAATTAACGAGAGGTCCTAAGTTTGAAATGCTATGTGTGTGTTTATTCTTTTCAATTTTAACAAATTTTTGTTTGGTTGTTAATTTATTTTTAGTTACTAGCTAGTAGCTATATGAGTTGCTATTTTTAAATATTCGTTCAAATTCAAGTCTAATATTCAACAAACAGTAATGCGTAGACCAAATTTTTAGAGCAAATTTACAAATCATATGATGTGTCATCATAAGGTTTAATTTAGTGCACATTCATTACTTATACATATCAATTAAAGACTAAAAAACATTATTATTTTTTTAGTCCCATATTGACAAGGTTAGTAAATAAGAAAAAACATCTCACAATTTATACAAAAACACTTTAAAAGTTCAGATGGAAAACAAAACTCATTTATCTACTTGTAAGCCATGAGTTTTTTGGTTTCCTTCTCTTGATACAAAATAAATTAGTCTTTCTGTGTTTCAAAATTATTGAGTTCGAAATGTTTTTCTACGTATAATTTTATCGATGTCTTTTATGTGAAAATAAATAATTTTCTTATGTGAAGTTAAGGCACATTTTTTAACGTCGTCTCGGGCCTCAAAAATCTCTAGACCGGCACTGCATGAACCCATTCACTCCCTCACCGTCTCTACTCTTCCTTTTCTATAAACCTAAAAATTCTCTCTCTCTCTCTCTCTCTCTCTCTCTCTCTCTCTCTCTCTCTCTCTCTAAAAGCCTCCTTTCTTTGACTAGAACACATTTTCTCTCTCTACTTTCTCTCTGCTTTCTCATCTCAGCGTTGAGAAAACCAGTGTTTCTTTTTGTTCATTCAACGCATATCTCTCAGGTTCGGCTTCGGTCTCAGCTTCGTCGTGAGCATAATAAGAACGACCCAGCTCTCTCGCTCTATCCATGAACTCATTCCCTCACTCACCGTCTCTACTCTTCCTTTTCAAAAAACCTAAAAAACCCTTCTCTCTCTATCTCTCTCTCTCTCTCTAAAAGTTTCCTTCTTTCTCTGACTAGAACACATTTTCTCTCTCTACCTTCTCATCTCTGCTTTCTCTCTCTAACGCCATCTACCACTCTACAAGAACCCATTCCCTCCCTCACCGTCTCTAACGCATATCTCTTAGGTTCGGCTTCGGCCCAGTTGCATTTTTTCACTCAGAAGATCATATTTCTGGTTCAATAATTTGCATTTGAAGACGACGTCCACTCTACAGAGCTCCGTCCATCGTTCTACCCTTGTCTGCTCACAAAAGTAAGTGCCCTGTTTTTTTCTTTTTTCTTTTTTTGCGCTTCATTTTGGGAGTGTAGCTCAAAAGTAACCGCGTTTTTTTGCTCGCATTCATCGCCGGACCGGTTACGGTACTATTTGAATATCTGCTTGACATTCTTAAGTACTGTCTTAAGCTTGACGGCTGTAATTGGCCTTATTCTTCGTAGCGAATTTTTGTTTTGGAGTCCTTTTTGACAGAATTTAAAAAAACGAAAAAGAAAAAAAAAAAAAACAGAGCTCTCGTTTCTGGAAAAGAGAAAACAGAGCTCTTGTGTGTCTGCGCGTGTGTGTGTGAAGGTATGACGAGTCTTCGATCTGAATTTTGTTATTGTATTCCTCTGTACAGAAGTGTCATATATACGCAGATGGATTGTGTCCCAGACATTGCTGTTAGCGTCCCTCTACATTCGGAACTGGAAGTATAAGTGTACACTCTGCTTGCCTCTTTTTTTATTCCTTTTATTTGGGGAAAATGATGGGATACCAAAAAAGAACTGATTAATTAGCAATTAATCTTTAGAACTCAGCTCTTGATATGTCTAGGCATTTTTTTTTATTGAGAAATTAAGAGCATCAAATGTCTATAACTCTACATCGATTCGTTATTAACAAACATTGAAGAAAATAGCAGCTAGCTACGTACCCTGTTACAACTTACCTACTTAATCTGTTTATTTCAGATGATATATTAGCTTGATTAATTTATAGGTAGATCATACGTTCCCATTTTTTATATCACATTAGTGTACCATTTCATGTGAAATGTGACACATACGCAACATTCTTTGATATAAATTCATTAATTGAAATGACATGTACACATCACTTGCCACATCAAATAGTACAAAAGCATGGTCTCCCTAACATTTTTCTATTAATTAAGAAACCATATATATTGTAGATAATTCATTAATGCAATTTCATTTAATTTTTTATTAACTATATGTATATAACAGCACAAACCAAGAACGTTCTACAAATGTACTGCATACGTATATATGTTCCCTCATCACCATGCTAGGCGGTTTCCTCCAACTAAAGCAGGGAGTCAAAAATGAGTCTCTCTTCGACACAGACTACCCAACTATGGTGTTCTTTATCGTTGTGCTAATCGCTTATGTCGGATCACTAATTGGCTCCAGAATACTCCATGTCCAAGCTCGCCCAAATTTAGAATTGGCAGAATCAATCACCAATAAGATTAGCCTCCTCTTTGGAACTCTTGCCTTGATTTTAGAAGTGGTGATCCTTGTGCCAGGTTTAGGGCTAGTCGCCCTATTCTTTTGGGCTATTTGGTTGTGAACGTTGTAGCTGAGTACGCCTGCGAATACCTCGAAACGTTGTATCGAAGTGTAGTTGCATCAGTTGTTCATACATTTGGCAAATTGAAAGAGCATCTGAACATGATCATCCGACGTTTCACAACGGAATCCGATGAACAAACTAATGAGTTTTCTCAAGTAACTTCTACCACGGTTTAGGTTTGGGGTATTATTTTTACGTGTTATTTTTCTGAGTTGGATTATATTGAACTCAGCTTATGAATAGTAAAGTGCAATAACATCCTAATTTCTGCGAAAAGAGTTGGCAATTAACATAATTTACTTTTCTAATGTAATTTTTGTGCTATAGAGAGAAAATATATGAGAAAAATAAGTAACGGAGAGGGATGAAAGGAGGTTGTGGGAGGAAGGAGGGAGAAATGAAAATTATATGAAATTAAAAATTTGATATAGTGATAACTATCCTATATTAAGTGTTTGTTTGTGTCGTTTTGTACACATTATTTTTACATTTCTTCCACCATCGTTCTTTCACTCTTTTGCATAAATATATATGTTCCCTCATCGCCATGCTAGGCGGTTTCCTCCAACTAAAACAAGGAGCTAGAAATGAGTCTCTATTCAATACAGACTATCCGATTATGGTGTCCTTAATCGTTACGCTAATTGCTTACATCGGATCACTAATTGGCTCTATAATACTTCACGTGCAAGCTCGCCTTAATTCGGATTTGGCAGAATCAATCATCAATAAGATTAGCCTCCTCCTTGGAACTCTTGCCTTGATTTTAGAAGTGGTGATCCTTGTACCAAGTTTAGGGCTAGTTGCCGGATTCTTCTGGGTTGTTTGGTTTGTGAAGGTTGTAGTTGAGTACGTCTGCGAATACCTCAAAACGTTGTATGAAAATGCAGTTGCATCAGTTGTTCATTCATTTGGCAAATTGAGAGACAATCTGAACATGATTATCCTACGTTTCACAACGAAACCCAAAGAACAAACTAATGAGCTTCCTCAAGTAACTTCTACCAAGGTTTAAATTTGGGTATAGGTTTGGGGTATTATTTTTGCTCGTTAAATTTTCATCTTATTTGTACGTGTTCTTGACCAAAAGTAGGAGCAGTTTCAAGTATAGAAGAACAGCTAGGGAGCTATATATAGGATGTACTTACCCATGATGAGATGAAGAAGGGGTATTACTGCTCATAGCTACAGGAAGAGTCTCAACTGGTTGAATCATTTATTCAATTATTCATAAATCGTGTTGTACAAAGGCAAAAGCTCTTCCGGACGAATAAGAATCTATTAACGAGGGTTTAAATCCAAAGCAAACTGACCATTTAATATTCAATCGTGTTGTACAAGGTACAAAGCCTGTCCTTTCTTTATGCAATAAAAGGAAAAGATAAAAGCATTTTTGAGATGTTCTGCAACATGCATTTTCTCATTTGCTAATTTTCTAGAACATGCACCTCTCATCAACTCTCTCTCTTTATATTACTTGTAGTATAAGAAAAAAGTGCCTCTTCCCGTTTATATTGATCTACGTAGGATGATGGACCCTTGGGTAGAATGACATGATTATCCCCTCCAACAAGAATATTACATGATTATCCCTCTTATATAGGGGTGGTTCGGTATGGGATCCCATACCGAAACCCTTGTCCCGATTCCCATACCGAAATTTTCGGGAATCCCAATTTCAATACCGATCCCAAACCAAATTTTCGGGAATCCCAATTTTCGGGAATCCCGAAATAGTTTCGGGATTTCGGGACAAATCGGGAATCCCAAAAATAATTTTGGGCTTTTGGACAAAAAAAAGCTAATATTGGTCCAATTGGACAAAAACCTAATATTGGGTCTGCCCACTGAATGTAACAGCCCCCACATATGGGCTTAACTTTTATTCAACCAAATAAAAAAAATATTGGGCAAACCTGCAATGTTTATAAGAGCAGTTCAGCTGCATTTTCCACTTGTATGGTAGCCAAGGTTTTAAAATAAATAAAGTAACAAACCCAAAAGCAAAAAAATTAGTTACAATCTAAAGTTTTAATAATTAAGTTACAAACCAAAAGCTAAAAAATTAGTTACAATCCAAAGTTTTAATAATTAAGTTACAATCCAAAGTTTTAATAATTAAGTTACAAACCAAAAGCAAAAAAATTAGTTACAATCCAAAGTTTTAATAATTAAGTTACAAACCAAAAGCAAATAAACAAAGTTTCAAGTTTATGAAGATTGTTGACCTCTTCGGCCTCTTCGGCCCCTTCTTGTTGGCACTTGTAATCTTCCCCTTGATGTTGATGGTTGAGCCCTTCCCCTTACAATGGGTGGTCGTGGTCGTGGAGGTAGTGATTGATTTTGACGTTGTTGAACTTGTACTTGAGGTGGTCGAGGAGGTGGAGGTGGCATTTCATTTTCTTGTGTTGTATTCTCCTCACCTCCCAAATTAGCCATGTCTAAAACAATAAACCACAAATCATTTACATTGAATTATAGTCTAATAGATAATAAATACTAAGAAAATAAAAGATGAAATTAAATTGTTTACTTACTTCTTTCTAATACCGAGACCATATGTGTACTAGATTGGCTACTAGATCCGTCCATTCTAACAAATAAAATAACAATGTACATTAATATATCACAACCACAGTTCAGCATAGTGTGTACATTAATATATCACAACCACAGTTCAACATAGTGTGTACATTAATATATAACAGTATACATTAATGGCGTTACCTCAGAGCAAATCTTTCCAACAATGGAGATCGTCTCAACAGGGTAACTTCGTCAAAGTTTTTCATAGGCCTGTAACAAATTCAAGGCATATACTGTCGGTTTTAGTATGAGTGGTTGTTAAAGCAGTATCAACAAAGCATGATACACAACGATCATATATTCATCAAAAACAAGATAAATAAAAGCATCCAAAAGGAGTACTAGTTTGTGTCAATCATGCAGCAAATCAACAATAACAGAATGCTCCCTTACAGAAAGAAAAAGAATTGACCAATTTTTTTTAATCAGATAAGCAAATTAAAGTGAATGTCATTTTTCAACAATAGTTGTCTGAAAATCTAAGTTCTTTGACAATACATAAAGACTTCAACGTAACCTAGAGGACAGGGGGACTGCTCCCAACAAGTTAAGAAATTGTTGAGCCAGATCAAAAGCTCAGTAGTCACAATACATTGATGCTAACAGATTTATAAATTCACCTTTATCTTGCTTCAAACATATGAGACACAATGTTTGTTTGAGTTCACATGCACAGTGCACCTGTGTTATTGTGTGTGCTATGTACAAATATTCATATTTGACAAGTCCTGCTAGCATCATTCTACATCAATTGACATCTAAAATTATCCATATGATGCATTGGTGCAATGAGAAGTGTAAATTTCTACAGGCACTCAAAGTAATAAAAATAAAAAAAGGAAGATCTATATACCCGTACCTCACAGAAAGGCTACAATCTTTCGAACACCTTGAATGACTTTCAAGTGTCTGTTAACACGAACATACATACCATTTCTGTTGCAAAATAGGTCAGAACATAACATGTATAAGCACTTCACAAGGTTTTGGTTACTCAACAATCCCAATATCTATATACGAAGATTCAATTCCAACGTAAAGCTCACAGATGATAATGAGAGAACTTACTGTATTTCCTGCATTTCTCGAGTCAAAATTCTCATTCACCCTGTTGAGATAATTAAACATAGAAGATTCAGAACTTATATCATTATGCGTCTATCCATATAATCGAAACACATGTCTAGCTTATTTTGCTAGATTATGCATTGCACTGAACATCAAAACGCAATAAACTCTTCAAACAATTAACATTGTGATAATATAAACGGAATCAAAACGGACAATGCAAAAAGTTACCATCTTCAGCACTTGATTCGCCCTGTCCCGTCATCCACAGTGAAACCAACATCAGTGTTCCTTTCGGCTTATCGAAAACCATCCCAACCACCGATACCTAACCAACCAAACATCATATTAACTGAAACGTTTCGGAAATCTCTTTTTTTCCATTTCAAGTGACTGTTACCCACGAGTTCAAAGTTCAACCAAGCAGTCTTAAATCCCAAACATTAATTCAAACAGAACAACATATACATCCAAACAATCTTAAATTTACAAGTAAGAAACACGGAAGTTACGAACTTTTTTACCTGAGGTGGAGGAAGAAGAAGAAGGAAGAGGATGCCTGAGGTGGACCGTGGGTTGCGGAAGGAAAGGACGAGGAAGAAGTGAAGTAGTGAACTCTGCAATTCGTCAAGTGTGGTGGTGGGCCGGTGGCTGGCCGGAATTCGTCACAGAGAGAGAGATGAGATGAGGGCTCGTCGGCTAGATGAGGGAGAGATCAGAGACGAGAGAAGAGATTAGGGTCGGCTAGAACGAAAGTGAAGTTTGTGAAATGGTTGTGAAATGGTTTCTGACCTAATAACATATGAACGGCAAAGATTAAATCTAAAACAATGAACGGTTGAAATAATTCTCTTATAATTAAAAGAAAAAAAAAATATATATTATTATATAATATTTATTTTCGGTTCGGTATGGGAATACCGAAAATTTGAGATTCAAAACCGAATCCCGTACCGAAAATATCGGTTTGGTTCGGGATTACATACCGAAAATTTCGGGATTTTTGGTTTGGGATTTTTTTGGTTTGGGATCGGGATTTTTTCGGTTTGGTTTGGGATTTTTGGGATTTTTTTCCAGCCCTACTCTTATATACCAATCCCAAATGCAGCTTCATAGTCCAGACCATGTGATTTTATTTGTGCAAAGTATCCCAAAAAAAAAAGGAAATAACGTTTCAGGCTATTTGTCGATTTTATGACATGGCGGTTCTTGATTTTAATTTTTTTTTATTTATTGTTTGTTTTTTTTATTACAAATGATATTATTATTCTATACTAGACTAATGAGAATAATAGTGTGAATTCAAAATGCGATGAATTTAAGAGAAATTTCCTAATCAGCCATTCTCAACTTGCTTTGTTATTAATTACTAGTTAATCTTAGAGTGGTTTTTTTTTATAGTTTATTAAAATGAAAATAAAAAACAACCTATAGTCTACATAGAACTTCGGTCCCTTGTTGTGGTCTGTCGAGATTTGCTATTAAGATCTTGGCAATGTGAACTTCGGTATGTCTACAATGAAAAGAATTTTATAGCAGATAGTTTAGCAACCTATTGTTAGGATACTGCCAGATGGCATATAAGGATGATGACATCTGTACAAGGTTGTTAGTAGTTAGTTAATTGTTAACAGATAAATAACAGATTGTAAAGATAGTAAGGCAGTCAATGAAATATTGATTGTTTGTATTGTTGTTCTGTTATCCCATGTCTGTGCAATTGTGGAAGACGTAGAGTAGGGGTTCTAAACATTGGTATCAGCCAATCGTTCGTTCCTTTCAATCCTTGTCTCGGTACCGTCCAAAATACAAGCCCAAAAGTCCTCCTTGTTTACGACCAACATTAAAAAGAGTTCAAGAAGGTTCGTTGTTCTCATCAGTGTTCCGAATTTTCGTCGTATCAGCCACTGAAGCGTGAGGATCTTGATCATGGTAACAAGTGTCATCCTGTTCTGTCTCCAAAAAAGTGAAGCTCATGATATGATTCAAGGATTTCTTAAAGATGAAACTTTGGAATTTGGGTGCAAGAAAATCTGGGTTACTGAAATTGGAGAAGAAATCTACCCGTTCAGGTCGAAACCAGCCACTATTCTTGAAATTGATTGTAAGAATGGCAAATCCCAAGTTTTCATTTTGGAAATTCATGTTTCTAATGTTGAGTTCAAGAGAGCTAAATTGCCTGGTTCGCGTGCACTCTACCTGTTCGACAAAATGTCGAACTCAGGTTACATTCTTGATATTAAGCTGGGGTACCATATGAGCATTCGTGATAAAGGTGGTACCAATTTTCTCTTCAGTTTTGAGTCAATAGATTTACTGGCAAGCTGCAAGGACTCAGGTTTCTGTGTTGTTATTGCTCGTTCCATGGGCTACTACTGCAAGGGAATTCGTGACAAGGGTGGAACAGTTAGTCAGAGGCTCTTCAATTCGAAGTCCAAGAATCATGATTGTGTTCTGGGTTCTGATTGTTCCAAGGTGGTCAAATGTGAGGTGAGTTTTGATTCTTCCATGATCATTGATGGGGAGTATGCTGGTAATTTGGAATTGCATCATTTAGAAGCTTGTATGGACAAGAACCGAAAAAATGAAAGAAAGTTCACTCTCTCCAGATTTGGAATTGGTTGCTGTGTTGTTTGCTGTGTTGTTCTCGATCGTGACTACTGCAAGGGCATTCAGGATAAGGGTGGCGGCTCAAAATTCAGGTATATGGTTACTCTAAATATTCATTTTTCTTGTATGAATGCATCTGGAGATTCTATTGAATGTAGCCAAGATGGAATATTTGGGGTTGTACTGTTGGTTGCATAATCTACTTGCATAGTTGTAGGTGGAGAATTTTATAGTTCAAATATTGAGTTGGGTAGGGCAGGGAAGAAGAAATCTCCAAATGTTAGGGAGGATTATCTAGTTCATAGATTTTACAGGCAGAAGAAACTAACATTTGAGAGTAATGTTCATGGATCTTTTGGTTTGCAAGATACTAGTCATGTACTTGAGGGTGGGAAAGACATCAACAATACAACTTTCATGTCTGGTTTATTAACTGGTGGAAGAATTATGAGAATGAGAGATGCTGTTATTCTTTACCATCTTAGTAAAAATGATGCTGAGCAGAGGAAGTTGGATGTAGCTTTCATTGGTGCAAAGTACATGCTAAAGCTGGAAAATGGGTGTAGTGTTTCAGTGGCAAATGATTTGATCATACAAGTTGGAGACTCCAACTTTTACTTGCACAAGCTTCCGATGGTCATGAGAAGGGGTTACTTGAATCGACTAGTATTCCAGAGAATTAATGTAGGGAGAGATGCCAGCCCCAGAATCCATCTTGACAATCTTCCACGCGGAGCAAAAGTTTTCGAATCTGTAGTTAAGTTCTGTTATGGTTGGAAGTTTGATCTAATCAACATAGCTCCGCTATATTGCGCTGCACATTTCTTGGAAATGAGTGATGATTTCAAACAAGGAAATCTGATTTCCAAAACCGAGACCTTTTTGAGTTTTTTGATTTTTCCTTCTTGGAAAAACACCTTCCGGATTTTGAGAAGCTGTGAATCGATTTCTTTGTGCGCTAAGGAGTTGAAAATCTCCAAACGGAGCACGGAAGCCATTGCTTGGAAGGCTTGTACAAACCTTAATGCATGTAGTTCTGAAACTGATGAAATACAATGCTTCAATGTTCTGCCAAACAATGCAGAGAACTCGAGGCTTCAAGGTGCAGCTGACATTTGGTGGTTTGAAGATGTCTCGTTCCTTCGAATAAATCATTTCATCGAAGTGATCCAAGCCTTAAATTGGAAAGGATCATGTATAGCCCATTGGACTGCAAAATGGCTCTCGCGAGTCACCTCAAGACTTGAAAGAATGTCCCTGAAGCATATGACACATCAGTTTCTAGGAGTTACAACCGAGTGCTTGGTTAAGGATGTAGTAGATGGGGCTATTTGTTCGAAATTGTAAATCTTACTTTGTAGGATTGGTCTTAAGGTGGGCTATTGTTAGGATACTGCCAGATGGCATATTAGGATGATGACATCTGTACAAGGTTGGTAGTAGTTAGTTACTTGTTAACAGATAAATAACAGATTGTAAAGATAAAAAGGCAGTTAATGAAATATTGATTGTTTGTATTGTTGTTCTGTTATCCCATCTCTGTGCAATTGTGGAAGACGTAGAGTAGGGTTCTAACACCTATAGTCTTGATTTAGATTTGGTCATTTTTATTTTGATACTCCTCCTTGCTCAGTTAGTTTTATTTGTGAGGATCGACTTGGGATGTTTAGGTTTAGATTTATTATTGAGTAGGTTTGTTTGGGCTCTTACTTTTAGCCCTGTTTTTCAACCAAAAAAAACAAAAAAAATGAAAACCCAAACAATTCTTTTGTAATTTCATTTCTACATGTTGGAATAGAGGGTCAATCAATATATTAACTTTTGCATCCATTATGCAAATGGGAAGAGACGCTTTTTTTTTTTTTTTTTTTTGGTACTACAAGTAATATAAAGACAGAGAGTTGAAAAGAAAGTGTGTGTTACATAGTATCAGCAAATGTTATGGCTGGAAGCAAAATTTATTTGATCAATAACTTGGACCTGTAATTTGAAAACAAAGATAGTAAGTTATGGTGTACTGTTTCTCCTTTACTTTACAATCTCTTGTGACGAAATGAAGAGGCGAGTAGATGCAACATTTTCTGCTTGAGTTTAGATTTTCAACAAACTGAGACGCGGGTGGTGAACGTGAATGAAAGAGTTTCGGAGAAGAAAGGATGCAAAAATCAATGTTAAATACCAGCCTTCTTCCTAGCCTTGTGGTTAAGCGCACCAGCATGGATAGCCATGGTTCTAGGTTCGAAGGCTACTGCAGTTTATGTTACACTTTCTCAGTTGTAAACTTATTTTGATTAATCTTACAAGTTCACTCAGAATACCGGAAACCAAATTAAGGATGACTCAACCTGGCATAACTTGTGTACAATTACAGCTCCACGGATTAAAAAAATTCAGGGAAGATCCATGCATGTTAGCTCTACTGCGATCCACTTCTGTATCTCTATGGAAAGGACCGCTCTCCATGTTTAGGTTTGAGGAACAGGAGAATTATCAATCGGATATCTTTGCCGTGGTGGACGCCTTGTCCTCTTACCCCAACAGGTTAAGTTTCTCTCCTCAGGTCCCTGCAGCACCTCGCATTTTGGTTGCTCAATCTGGGGCTGGCTAACTTCAGCCACATTAGTAGACAGAGCAGGAGTTCCCATACGCTTCCTCCCCCTTCCCCTACCACCCTTACCGAAATTTCTATGTGACAAACTTGACTGCCAACTCCCACCAGATTCCCTAATCAACCCTTCAATTATTTGAAGATCATCATGTTAAACTGATGTATACACATCCAAGATCATAGTTAAGTCACAGCAATCACAATCAAATAAAGCACAACCATTCACATATAAAACTTTGCATTGATACTAAACTAATGCACCTCCATTCGAAATTGACATGGTTGTTACGGTTTGATTTCTGTGTGCTTGGGCTTTTCTCTTCTGCTTTAACCAAGAATAGGACTTAGTTCTTTCTAAGCGTGTATCTGTGAGAGCAGAGATCACATCATATATATAAGCATCTATCTCTCCTAATCCAATAAGGATTCCCTATTAAAATCCTAGCAAGAAACAACTTATGTCTCCTAATCCACATCAGTTCATCACTATGATAGACTCCTCTATCAACAAGAACTTACATTCATCTTCCTACAAGGCTTTCTTATACTAATTGGTCCAAATAGCTAATGCCAGTTTACCGAAGACTCATGTTCATATTCTTACATTCTCCCACTTGAACATGAGACACAAAACAAGCACAGCCTTCACCAATTATAAGAAGTGATCACACAGCCTTATTCAAGATTTTATCATCATGACTAATGTCCCATTACATTTCAAAAATAGAAGCCAAGAATCTCAGACTACAACCAAAAGCAGCATTGATTCAAGACTCACATGTAACCCTTCTGAGATAAACCAAGCAATTTTTTCTGTCTATCTCGGACGATTTCAATCCCCAACACATAATGTGCTTCCCCCAGGTCCTTCATGTCAAAGTTTTCACTTAGCATCATTTTGGTAACATGTAATAGTTGGGGACACGAACTAGCTAGAAGAATGTCATCTATATAGAGCACCAAAAAGATAAACTGTGAACCAGAAAACTTAGTGTAAATGCAATCATCCAACTTGTTTTCTTCGAACCCCAGTGAGGACACAATTTGATCAAACTTCAAATACCACTATCTAGAGGCTTGTTTTAACCCATATATTGACTTATTAAGTTTACAAACCTATTCTCCTTCCCCCTTTCAACAAATCCAGTGGGCTGCTTCATGTAAATGCTCTCTTCCAAATCTCTATTAAGAAAAGCTGTTTTCACATCCATTTGGTGAAGCTCCAAGTCAAAATAGGCAACCAAAGACATGATTATTCGCATTGAATCTTTAGAAGAGACCGGAGAAAAGGTGTCATTGTAATCAATCCCTTCTCTTTGTGTAAAACCCTTTGCTACTAACCAGGCCTTATATCTTTCAATACGACCAAGAGCATCTCTTTTGGTTTTATACACCCACTTGCAACCTATAGGCTTGATTTGAGAATTAGACTCCACACGTGTCCAAACTTTGTTGTTGTACATCGAATCTAACTCATCCTTCATTGCATTCTGCCATAGAACTGATTGAGCACTTTCAATGGCCTGAGTGTATGAGAGAGGGTCCTCAATATCCCCAATGTCGAAATCAGTTTCTTGTAAATAAACATAGTCACTCACTGCTGTCGACTTTCTTATTCTAGTTGACTTCCTGGGTTCAAAATGTGATGCAACTTCAATTGTTGCTGGCTGTTGAGATTCTGTGATGATATCAGAATTTGTTGAGATTGGATCTATCTCCATAGTATTTTTAGTGCCCGAACCCAATTCACCACTAGAATACAATTCTTCATTCGAGTTTTCTATTGCAGGTGACTTTGTTGAAGGAAATAACAAAACTTGATTATAACCTGGTTGTGCAGTGTTACCAGAATCTTGATCCATCTATTCAAAAACAAATTTTTCCCTTGGTAGGTCTGAAACATCTTCATCCTCTAAGAAAGCTGCATTATGTGTTTCTTGTATCCGAGTGTGACCTTGAGGGATATAGAACCTGTATCCTTTTGATTTCTCTAGATAGCCTATGAAGTAACATGACTGAGTCCTTGAATCTAGTTTTCTTTCATTAGGATTATAGAACCTAGCTTCTGATTTACAACCCCAGACATGGAAATAAGTGAAGTTTGGGACTCTCCCATGCCATAACTCAAAAGGTGTTGAAGAAACTGCCTTGCTTGGAACTCGGTTTAAAATATAATTGGCTGTTTTTAAAGCTTCTCCCCATAAAAATCCTGGTAATTTTGATCTTGACATCATACTTCTTACCATGCCAATCAGAGTTCTATTCCTTCTATCTGAGACTGCATTTTGTTGAGGTGTGCCCGGTGTTATATATTGAGCTACAATGCCATTTTGCTCCAAATAGAGTGCAAATGGTCCCTTTTGTTGTCCTGATTCAGTGTACCTGCCAAAGTATTCTCCCCCCCTATCTGATCTAACAATTTTAATGACTTTTCCTAACTGTTTTCAACCTCAGTTTTGTAAATAATAAAGCACTTAAGGGCATCAGATTTTTCACTAATAAGAAAAGTGTATCCTAGTCTAGAGAAATCATCTATAAAGTTAACAAAATACTTGTTTCCACATACTGTTTTGACTGGAAAAGGACCACAAATATCAAACCAAAGAAGGGAGTCGTTTTCCGAAGCTTCCAGATTGCGACAAGGGGCATTTTCCTGCATCTTGGGAGCTTGAGATGATGAGATGGCAACTAGAGCCTCGGCTGCAACTCAAATAAGGCCCTCATGAGGTGAGTCAAGAAGTTCCTTACGTCTTTTTCAGTTTAATCTTCCCCATATATACTTGTTTCAACTATCACCGGTGCCTCCAAATCTGTCACAGTTTCTGTCCTCATAACTGAGGAAGCAGCAGTCGTTTCAGTTTCTATTTGGTGTCTTGGACCTGAATTCTCATTTGAAAATCCCTTGTGTAGAACCAGACCGTCTGCTTTCGATTGCTCTCTACACATGCGTCTGCTTTCAATTTCTTTTGAAGATTTCCCATTGCAAAGTGTTACTGCTTCAAGCCAATGCAATCTTCCTTCCCGGCTTTCTTGGTTCCTCAGCTCATTGAGAGAAACTATATTTTGTTCACAAGCTACTCCATGCAGATATTTATTAGGAGGAACATCATTCACATCAATTGTAGGTTTAACATCCACTCCATGACCTAAACTTGAATGGTTCCTTTGGTGGGCAAGGTTCGTTGAGGGGTGACAAGCCTATAATTCATTGGACTCCAACTTAGTGCGGAAGAAAAAACCGCTTTGGTGTGACACTTCGTCTTTCAGACTGGGAGTTGACGGTATTGAATTACAGTCTAGAAGCAATCTGTCCTTGGTAACTTCACGGCTTTGTGGCATCAATGAGTGAAGCCCTATTAGATTGTGTGGAGGTATTAACGGAAGTGCTTACTTGAATTGATGTTAAGTTCTTGCTCAAGCTACTTGGAGGTATTGTCCAATTAGGAGATGACTCGGAAATGGCTGCATCAGATTGCGAAGTCATAGCAGATGAACTTATATCGCTTTCAGAGATTTCTATACCAAAAAGTGTCCTCTTTATTCGTTTCTCCATTTTATTCTGATCAGAAGTGAAAAGCTTAGCAGGAGGATCGCAGGATATCCTAGCTTCATTTTCTGACTATCCACATGGCCTATTAAAATCTTGAAGACCAAACTTTCCGCCAGAAGAACTTCTTATTTGCTCTGAAAAAAAGCATATCAATCCGTTAGTCCAAAATGAAGAGAACTGCAACCCTTTGTAAGATTTTCCAATCTTAAGCTTTATTAGCAGTAAAGTAAACGATGGAGGAAACATGATTAACTACTTGTTTGGTGATGTCGGTAAATGGTAAGAAATTCACCAGGGATATATTCATATAGTCTAACTATGAAATAGCTAAGAGAGTTTCTTCTTAAAAATGAACTCTACAGAGACTCCTCGCCGACCGCCCCCTTCCCTTTTGTAGATATAATGACCAGCGTGCATCTGATAAGAGTCGTATGTGCAGGCAAGAATTTGAAAGTAATGAAACTTGTAATGCGGTGCTTAGATTCTGTATGGAACAATATCCCGGAAGTACATCTTCGACTGCACTTCTATTGAATTTTGATGTATATTTGCTTGATGAAACAATTACAAGATGAAACATATATATAGGGAAGAAAAAGATCATAAGCCTAATTTTGCCTAACTTACCTATCTTGCTTGACTAACCTAACTTGCCTAACTTTGAACAAGAAAGTTGACTAGCCTAATTTCACTAGTCATCCAACACCATTATTCCAACATGTTTATTTCATGCATTTTAACACTCCCCCTCAAGTTGGAGTGTGAATGTCGATGACACCCAACTTGCTAATTAAGACCTCAAATTGTGCCGAGCTTAGTGGTTTGGTGAACAAGTCTGCAGGTTGATTCGAGGTCCGTATGTAAGCTGTTTGCACCATTCCCATTTGAATCTTCTCACGTACTAGGTGACAGTCTATCTCTATATGCTTCGTTCGTTCATGAAACACTGGGTTCGAAGCAATGTGCATGGCAGCTTGATTATCACAAAAACATTGTGACTGGTTGTGCATGATTTACTTGCAAGTCCTTCAAAATGTTTCTTAGCCATATATAACTTCACAACAAGTAGTAGCCATAGAACGGTATTCTGCCTCTGCACTAGAACGAGATATTGTGCTTTGTTTCTTCGTTTTCCAAGATATCGGTGCTTGTCCAAGGAAGATACAATAACCGGTTATTGACCTTCTAGTGTCTTTACACCGAGCCCAATCAGCATCACAAAAGGCTTGTAATTGTAGTGAACCTGTAGAAGGCAAAAGAATTCCCTGTCCAGGAGATTGTTTGATGTACCTGAGAACCTTATGCACCGCTTCAAGGTGTGGTTGTCGTGGCTTGTCCATGAATTGGCTCAACATATTAACCACATAAGTCAGGTCAGGCCGTGTGATGGTTAAGTAAATCAGCCTCCCTACGAGTCGCCTGTATGAAGAAGGATCATGTAGGAGCGTCCCATCAGTTTGTGTAAGGGACAGGTTTGGTTCCATTGGTAATCGTGAGGGCTTCGCACCAAGGAACCCAACATCTTCTAGTATCTCCAACGCATATTTGCGTTGGCACAAGGCAATCCCTTGTTTAGATCTTGCAACTTCTATCCCCAAAAAAGTATTTTGAGTTTTCCCAAATCCTTTAGTTTAAAATGTTGGGAAAGGAAGAGTTTAGTCTCTTCAATTTCTCTCAAATTGTTACCTGCAAGTATCACGTCATCAACATACACAAGTAATGCCATGAAACTACCTTGACGGTTTCGGACGAACAATGAGTAATCTGACCATGATTGATGAAAACCAGCAGTCTTGAGAGCACTAGACAGCTTGATAAACCATTGTCTCGAGGCCTGTTTTAAACCATAAATGGATTTGTGTAATTTGCATACTCGTGTCTCCCCCTTTCATCCGAACCCAGGAGGCAGGGACATATAAACCTCCTCGTATAAGTCACCATGCAAAAATGCGTTGTTCACATCAAGTTGATGAAGATGCCAGCCTCGTATGGAGGCAATACTCAGGAGGACGTGGACGGTGGTGAGCTTGGCAACTGGAGCAAAAGTTTCCCGATAATCAAGCCCCTCAATTTGACTGTAGCCTTTAGCAACGAGACGAGCTTTGTAGCGTTCAACACTGCCGTCAGGTTTAAGCTTCACCTTATAGATCCATTTGCAACCGATGGGATGTTTGTGAGGTGGTAAGGGCACAAGAGTCCAAGTGCGATTGTCATGAAGGGCAACAATCTCTTTTTGCATGGCGTCACGCCATTTTGGATCCTGAACAGCTTGCGAAAAACTGGTGGGTTCTTTGATAATGGTGAGGGTGGTGAGAAAGGTTTTGTGAGTGGGGGATACATGGTCATAAGATAAATAACGAGATATGGGGTGAGATGTACTTGATGACTGGACCATGCTTGTGGAAGATGTGGGAGCAACACGGGAAGGGAGGGCCACCTCAACATGAAAGTCCTGCAAAAATGTGGAAGTTTTGGTCGGTCGAGTGCTACGACGGAGTGGAGGTGGTTGGTCTGGTGATGGAGTGGTTGGAAGTGGTGAAGATTGTAGGGTATGTGAAGGTGTTGATAAGGTATCTGGTGGTGGAGGTGTAGTAGGTAAAGGAGATGAGAGTGGTGTGATGTCGGCAAGTGTGGGAGAGGTGATGTTTATTTCTTCGGGTGCAAGGCTTGAGTGCGACTCAATGGGAGAGGTCAAGTCAAACGTGATGGGTGAGGGTGTAATGTTTGATGGAGACGGGGCAGCGGAAGTGGTATGATTTTGGAATGGAAAATGATCTTAAAAAAAACAACAACATCCCTAGAAACAAAGTCTTATTGTTTTATATCAAACAATTTATAACCCTTTTGACCATAAGGATACCCAAGAAAAATGCATTGGATTGCACGGGGGTCGAATTTAGAGGGCCTTTGGGCGTGTGTAGAAGCAAAACATAAACTACCGAAAACCTTTAAATGGGAATAGTTAGGTGCTTTGTGAAACAGTTTTTCGTAAGGTGTTTTACCTTGGAGAAGTGGAGTGGGTGTTCTATTGATGAGGTAGGCTGAGGTTAAGATTGCATCCCCCCAAAAACGTTTTGGCAAACAAGCTTGAAAGAGCAAAGCCCGAGCAACATTGAGCAAATGCCGGTGTTTACGTTCGGCAACACCATTTTGTTGTGGTGTGTTTGACACAACTAGATTGATGTATGATGCCTTTGAGAGCATAAAATTGCTCAAGCTTAAACTCAGGGCCATTGTCACTTCGTATGATTTGAACTCTGGTATTGAATTGAGTCTCAATCATTTGAATGAATCCGACTAAAATGTCTTTTGTGTCAGATTTATGTTTCATGAAATAAACCCAAGTGCTTCTAGTGTAGTCATCTACGATGGTAAGGAAATACTTGGCACCTGAAATAGAAGCAACTTGATAACCACCCCAAATATCAATATGCAATAATTCAAAACATGATTTGGTAGAAATAGAGCTCAAAGGATAGGGTGATCTTGTTTGTTTGGCCATGGGCAAATTAAACATTTTTCCAAATCACAAGCCTTATTGTTAAATAAAGGTAATAACGAAGTGACTTTATGAGATGGGTGTCCTAGGCGTTGGTGCCAAAGCTTTGGTGAGACGGTTTGAATATTGTTGCATGTTCCTTTCTTTGATGGGTCGAGGTAGTAAAGTCCATCCCTTTCAGTTCCTGTCCCAATCATCTTCCCCGAGCGAAGGTCCTGAATGACACAAAATTGGGTGAAGAAAATGGTGACATATAAGGAATCATAGGCTAGTTTACTGATAGATATTAAATTCAACCTAAAGAACGGCACACATAGGACATTTTCAAGGATAAGATTATGAGAGAAAACAACTTGTCCAATGTGAGTGACTTTGGCAACGGAACCATTTGGCAGTTCAACTGTATGATTTTCAACAGCTCGTGAGTGTGTAAGGAGACTAGGACTGCAAACTACGTGATCCGTGGCACCACTGTCCAAGATCCAAATACTTTTGGTTCCTTTACATGAAAAAGAGAAGGCTTTACCTGAAAGTTCTTCATGACTAGGAAGATTACTGACTTGATTGGCAAATGATGATTTATTCTTGTTCAACATCTGAAGGATTTGCTTGCAGTCCTCCTGAGAGAACGGGAAATTAGGCACTGTCTCTTGCTTGTTACTTTGTGAAACTTGATTCCCCTTTGAAGAAAAGAGACGATTGGATTCGGTCTCTGTGGTTGCTTTCCGTTTTCGACAGAAATCGAAGGTGTGGCCTTTCCATCCGTAAAAAATGCACTTGAGATGTGCACGACAATTTTTGGTGATGTGATTGGTTTTATTGCACTTTCCACATCGCATCTCCTTGTCTTCAGGTGTAGGTTCTCGCGACAAATTCTTCACTGCAAAGACAGCAGTTTCTAGTTGTGTGCTTTTCCCATTGGAAACCTCTGCCTGGCGTTCATGTCGAAGGACCAACGCATATGCCTTGTTCACCGTAGGCAGTGGTTCGAGAAGAAGAGTATTGCTTTGAACCGTAGCATACGATTCGTTCAGTCCCATAAGGAACTTCATGGTTTTCTGAGTTTCAACATATGAGTTCAGTTCATTCTTTGTTCCACAACTGCATGCTGGAATGGAACACAAAGTATCACGTTCATCCCATAAACTTTTAAGTTTAGTGAAGTAAGAACTTACACTCATATTGTTTTGGACGCAATCATGGATCTCGTTCTCAACATGGAACAGCTAAACTATATTCACATGTGAGAACCTCTCCTGCAGATCGGTCCACATTTGTCGAGCATCCTTGTAATTGATGACACTCCCTGAAATCTCCTTTGACATGGAGCCTAGTAGCCATGTCTTGACCAAGTTGTTGCAGCGATTCCATTGCTGCAGCTCCTCAAAATTATCCTCACTTGGTTTGTTGATCGTTCCATCAACAAAACCAAGTTTGTTCTTGACCGTTAAGGCCATACTCATGGATTGAACCCATGTGTTGTAGTTGTCTTCCACCAATGGTTGTGGTACGAGGATTGCACCAGGTTGATCCGAGTGGTGGAGATAGAGCGGGTGGTTGGGATTTTTCCCATTTTGAATGAGAGGCCATGCCTAGAATGATTGACCTCGTGGCTGCTTTAGAGCTGTGTTTTGTGGTTTTTCCCAGATCACAGCTCTGATACCATATTGAATTTTGATGTATATTTGCTTGATGAAACAATTACAAGATGAAACATATATATAGGGAAGAAAAAGATCATAAGCCTAATTTTGCCTAACTTACCTATCTTGCTTGACTAACCTAACTTGCCTAACTTTGAACAAGAAAGTTGACTAGCCTAATTTCACTAGTCATCAAACACCATTATTCCAACATGTTTATTTCATGCATTTTAACAACTTCAGTTCCCATTCCTGCAATTAACCCGATAAGCATTAGGAAAATTCAACTCAGATATAGAGAGAATTCAACTTAACCTCAGTACTGTCAACACAATCAGCAGAACCACATCATCAGATTGCACACTGAAACTCAACGCAACTCACTAGTTTCGAAATCTTTACTCACCAGACAGAGTATATCAGCAAGAACCCGCGAAATGCCTAGCTTTTAACACATAATTTCAAAGTTGTATTTCATTTTCTAGTGATAATCGTTAATCCTAGCTCCACATAAGCACATTTCAACCCAATGTTCCTTTCCCGTCCATGAATTGTATGATTCCTCATCCAGAATCAGATTGCCTTGTATCCCAAGGCGTTCAATTCCTCCAAAACATTGAATTCTTTTTTTAACACGCTATATTCTACAGTAGTTTTCTCTATGAAGGAGAAAGTCCGTACTACAGTTGCAATTACATTTTTACTGTTTTTTACTCTGGTTGAAATTAGTCCATACTAGTCTAGTATAGAGCAATCTCCGTATCAGCAAACTAACAAGAAGTCTCGGAGTTTTGTTAGTACCAAACGGATTGTTGTAGAAATAAACGGATTTGAAAAGGGTAAATCGCCAAAATGGTCCTTAAAATTTGCATAACTCATCATTTTGGTCCATGAGATTCCAAAACGATAAAAGTGGTCCCTGAGATTTTCCACCATCCATCATTTTGGTCATTCTGTTAAAAACTCCGTTCAGTGTCCTGGAGGAAGTTTGGGCAATTTTCAAAGCTTTGTAACTTAATCGTTTCTTAACCAAATTAGACCCATAATATATCAAAATGAAGATAGGAAAGTGTAGAATAAGATTATACCTATTTCAAAGACCAATGATTGCCAGCGATGGCCAGAAAATAGCCTCAAAGTTGACTGGTCCGAGTGAAAACTTGAAAACTCGCCGGAAACTGGGTAAACTTTAAACGTTCATAACTTTTTCAATACTCAACGAAATCAAGTGCTTCAAAAACTAAACTCATACTTCTCGATGAGAAGAAGAGAATGGTACCTTTTTTATGGCTAAATCGCCGTGGTTTGGCCGGAAAACGGCTCGAAAGTAGCTGTCTTGGTCTACTTTGGAATAGACCAAACACGAATTAGGGCCTCTAAAGCCAATTAGTGATCCACCATAAGCGAGTATGGCAACGATAAGGGACCTATAGTCGGGTAGTTTGTATCGAACAGAGACTCATTTTTAGCTCCCTGCTTCAGTTGGATGAAGATGCCTAGCATGGTGATGAGGGAAGAGGTATATTTATGCAATACCATTGTAGAACATTCTTCGTCGCTTGTGCTGTTATATATACAGTTAAAGAGAAAATTAAATGGAATTGGAAAATCTAGAAATTAATCAAGTCAATATTATCTATTCTAAAATTGATGAGGGATTAGCTACAGTCAAATGTTTGTCACTTGATTTTGTTTTATTTACACCAATACCATCATATTTGTGCTTGAGTTGGAGGGTAATTATTAAAAATTAGGAGGGTAATATTGTCTCTTAACAGATTTCGTATATTTACAGTTTTGCCAGTTTTGTTGTGAGATGGGCCCTTGATTTTGCATTATTTACGTTTCTGCCATTTTCAGAAGGCAAGGGCTGCACATGCAGAGAGGGAGATAGGCGTGGGTTGGCAGGGAGGGAAAGAGACATGGAGGAGTGAGGCTGCCAAAAGGGGTTAGGGTTGATTTTTTCTCCTCAAATCAAGGGTTGGTGTCGGTGATTGAGAGATTGAGAGATTGAGAGAGACAGTAACACACGCCTTCATTTCCCAATCTCAAAGTGAAACCCTAGCAGCCACACCACCAACTCTAGCCGATCTCTGCAATAGTGTCGGCTCCTGCTTCCGAAAACCAAAACCGCACAAACCTGGCCTCCATTTCTGTAACTCGGAGCTTCGTCTCTCTGGGTCAGATGGACTGGCCTAAACATCAAATTGTCATCAAATGGTGGAAATAGTGGAGCGGTAAGTTATCTAGATTCTGGAGGTTCTACGTTGTTGTTCTAGGACGCTTCTGCATCAGTCGTTTCTCTCTTTTAGTGTATGCATGTGGTTATACTCTTTTAGGTGTAGGTGTCTGATAAGAAAGCAAAGGCCTGGTATGCTTCCAAGGGAAACATACTTTGAGACTTCTGCAAAACAAGGCTGCCATGTAGATGATGCCTTCCAGTGTATAGCCAAAAACGCGCTGAAGAATGAACCTGAAGAAGAAATGTAACTACTTTTTGCTTAGCTGATTTATCATTTTGTTTTCCAGTCACTTTTCCCCAAAAGTTTCTTCTTTTTCAGCTTTGAATTTAGTCCCTCTCCAATTATTTTAGGAAATATCTTATACCATCGGGACCCTAATTTGAGATAAGTTTCTGAATGGGTGAATACAATTCTATTGTTGATCAATTTAGAGTAATTTATTTACCAGTCAATTAATTTCCATCAAATCGTGATGCTAGGTATAGATAGCAATTATCTTCCTATTTATTCCTGTCCCATAACAAGTTGATATGTATACCCACTTTTAAAAAGGAGGAGAAGTACCTCTTGGTTGTAGTTGCTTTTGATTATTGGTAATTATAGTCAAGTAGGATTCCCTTACCTTTTTAATAAAAGTGTTCTTGCATTCAACCCTTGGAGGTATGAGATTTACCACATCGTTTAACACACTTTTGCCAGTTAAGGGAGCATTTTGCTCTTCAACTAAACCAAGATCTATTATTACCCCTCTTAAATTTTTGGAGAGGTTGTGAGCATGCACCATGAGTAAAAGTGGTGAGAAAACAATGGTCCCATTAATTAAATGGTGAGAGATCATTTTAACAAGCATGATTAATGTAGTTAATTAGCACTTAGCATCAGACAAGCTCTTTTTACAGATGATATATTTTTCATTGGTAAGGAGTCTAATCTTACGTGTGTACTTATCCTAAGCACTTAGGAGTGCTGGCCATGAGATTTTATTGCATGAATGGATGATGAACGTGATATGAAATTCATGACAAATTAATGGAATTTACTTTCATTTAACAAAACTTTATTGTGGTGAATAATAGGCCTTCATAATTAAGATCTTTCATTTTATATTTTATTTCTGTTTGCGTTCCAGGTATTTTATACATTCTTTCTCACTCAGGTACACATTGATGGGAAAGAGGTGGCTCAAAAGCGAAGAAACATGGTGACTTTGAGGAGGAAAAGAAAAGAGGAGAAAACACGTACATTCTTCTTCCTTTTTCTTTCTGTGTGTTTTTGGGTGGAGGATGTGAGAGGTTGTTGGTGTTTGGCTTCTGTGGCTATGTTTGACCGTGTTTGTATTGATATTGTTATTCCTTTCAGGTTTGAGAGATTAACAGAGAAAGCGTAAGAAACAGATGAAGGGAGGAGATTGAGCTGAATGATCTCGGTCAAGCAACAATCGTAATTGTAAGCTCAAGAGTAACTCTTTTTGTGTTAGTTGAATGTAAGAAATTTTTTTCATTTGTTATTTCACTGTTCGGCCTCTGTTCTTATAATTTAGGGATTGATAGATTGTATTTTCCCTCTCTCTTGGTTCCTTTCTGCCATTTCTTTCTCTCATTGCTTCTGAAGAAACCTAACTGCAGGTTCTTTTTTCCATTTCCAAGCTTCTGTTATGGTTTATACTGCTGTATTTTCTCTTTTTGATGAGGCTTGATGTGTGATTAAACTAAATTATGTTTTGGGTTTGTGTATACTGCTAATTTTCTTAGGATTCTTTCTGTCAAAGTCTGTAATTTCTTAAAAGTTATTTTTGGGTTGCTGAAACTAATTAATTTGATCAGTGTGATTTTTTGTGATTAGGAATTTAGGACCTTGGTAACTTGATTGATTATGAATTTGTGGGTTTATCTCCTAATTAGTATTCAAATTTAGTGCATATATAAGTCCATTTCTTAAGAGGGATCTATTTTGATAAGAAACAAGACCTTTCAATGTGTGGTTCAAACCGTCAAATTCATAAGTCCAGATGTAACTATATTCTTCAAAAGACTTGGCTAACTATGGTTTTACCATTTGGTTATTATCTTAAACATTTTGGTATTTACTCAAAAGCATTATATACTCATTTTCTTAGTTAGTTGACTTAGTAATTTCCTATTTGGGTTTGATCTAGCAAACACACACCCAAGGCTGCATAAGAAGAAACTTGGTGATGCCAAAAAAATCTTGGTGCATGCCTCCTAATTGAGATCTGCTTGCTTACTTAATCATTCAGTGTGGTGTGTTTGTTTACAATTTAATTCCTTTTAATTGTGGCCGTAGCACAATAACTTGAATATACAGAAATGAAAGGGATGGTTTCTTGCGATATCTGTGTCCATATGGATTATAGCTGAGTGTAAAAAAATGATGTGATGCCTGCCAGAAATAACAACTCTTTGAGCATCCTAATTTGTGGTGTCTATATGGATTATAGCTCATTGTAATAACAACTCTTTGAACATCCTAATTTGTATGTGTTTGTCTGAGAGCAATTGATTACTACAAAGTATAGAAGTAATTCTTTCTTCAGTGAAAAATAAAAGGAAATTTTTTACAAGGGTTTACCTTCTGTCCAAATTGAGCATGTTTGAGAATTGCTAATGGATTTACTATGTTTGGGAATTTTAGGAATTTAGATCATTGGAGGGCGAAGTTGGTTCCTTGACATTTTGAGGTATATCATTATACACCCTGTTTTTTTATTCAAGGCTTAATCAAGGGGATATCCTTATTTTTGGACTTTCTCCTCTTTGAAACAGAGAGTTAGACCTCAATTGTTTGTGGATTCTCTAATTTCTGTGGTGTTTGATGTGTATTTTTTGGTTTTAGTGTTTTATGGATTTTTGGAATTTGGATTTAGGCTAAACTATTTGCACAGATTTTTTTTTATTTTTTTATCATTATTCATTTCCCAGTGAACTACTATTGCTCAAACAATATGGAACCAGCCGAGTAAGAAATAAAGGCTCCACATCATTCTTTGGTATTCTTTTTATGGTTTCTATTTCCTTGCTGAGAAAGGAACATTTGTGGAACTGGATGGGAACCTTCATTCTTTGTCATGTAACTTTTTAACAAGACACTGCCAATGTTGTGGATGACATTATTTTGCTTTGCTGGCTGCTAATTTGTTGTGTTTAATTCTTCTTTGTAGCTGAAGTTTTCTTTCTCAAAGCGTTGACCGACTGTTGTACTCATATCTGCGTTTCATTTTGTAAACTTTTTTCCATACTTCCAAGTGTATGTTTTGGAATGGTGAAATTTTTGTGATGGTTTCATACTCTGCTGTCTTCAATGCACTGTCAAATCTTATTCTAAGGATGTTGTTTGAATATGATTTGTTAAGACGTCCCATGATTCACAATTTATGTGTCTTTCTGTTGAAATTATTCATCCATGTCCTACATTACGATTTCAAAATCCGCAGCAGCGCGCGGGCAATTTTTCTAGTATCAACTGAAATCAACTAAGTACGCAAGCAATAGTAAGTTGTAACAGGGTACCTATCTAGCTGCTATTTTCTTAAATGGTTGTTATAACGAATCGATCTAGACATTCGACGTTCTTAATTGTCAAAAAAAACAATGGCTACACTTATCAAGAGGTGAGTTCTTGATGAATTAACCGCTAATCAATCAGTTATTTTCTTCATTTTTAGGTTAGATACGAGGGAATGGAATCTTGGAACCCACCCTCTCTCACTAATTGGGGTAGTATCCCCCCCCCCCCAATAACTTAATAAGCTATTTGGGTACGTACAACGCATGAACCAATTTCATTTCCAACACAACATCGTTTATAACAAGTTAAGTGTTGTTTTGGATGCCCACTTCCCCCATGGCCTCATCGCACAATAATATGGATTTATCGTTATTCAATCGGGCTACATCCACTGCGTATATATGACATAAATATGTGCCATTAAATGTGATATCCTAACATTTTCTCCAAATAAAAGTAGAGGTAAAAAAAAAGGGAAGCAGAGTGTACGCTTACCCTTTCAGTTCCGAACGTCGAGGGACGCTAACAGCATTGACCGGGACACGATCCATCTGTGTGTGTATATATATATGACACTTCTGTACAGAGGAAAACAAACACAAAATCCAGATCGTCAGATCGAAAACTCGTCACACCTTCACACAGACGCAAGAGCTCTGTTTTCTCTTTCCGAAAAACAAGAGCTCTGTTTTTTTTTTTGTAATTTCCAGCGAAAGAGAACTCCAAAACAGAAATTTGAGACGAAGAATATGGTCAATAGCGGCCGTCATGCTTAAGACAGTACTTAAGATGGCAGGCAGTATTCAAATGCTACCGTAACCGGTCCGGTGGTCAATGCGAGCAAAAAACAGCCGGTTAGCTTTGAGCTACTCACAAAATGAAAGCACAAAAAAACATAAAAAACAGCACTTACTTTTATGAGCACACAACGGTAGAACAATGGAAGGAGTTCTGGACAGTGAGTCGCTTGAAATGCAAATTGAGGATCTGAAGAAGGCCGTATCTGAAGTTGGCAAGGTCATTTAGGTCATTAAATGTGATTCTCCACAGTGTAAATATCCTATTTGCATTTCAAGCCATATACTTGTGATTCTCCACTGTGGAGAATCACATTTAATGACCTAAATGACCTTGCCAGCCATATAAAGTTTGCAAGTCCTGCCCTGAAGCTCTACAAGTATAATCAGAGACGGCCTTCTTCAGATCCTCAATTTGCATTTCAAGCGACTCACTGTCCAGAACTCCTTCCATTGTTCTACCGTTGTGTGCTCATAAAAGTAAGTGCTGTTTTTTATGTTTTTTTGTGCTTTCATTTTGTGAGTAGCTCAAAGCTAACCGGCTGTTTTTTGCTCGCATTGACCACCGGACCGGTTACGGTAGCATTTGAATATCTGCCTGCCATCTTAAGTACTGTCTTAAGCATGACGGCCGCTATTGACCATATTCTTCGTCTCAAATTTCTGTTTTGGAGTTCTCTTTCGCTGGAAATTACAAAAAAAAAAACAGAGCTCTTGTTTTTCGGAAAGAGAAAACAGAGCTCTTCGTCTGTGTGAAGGTGTGACGAGTTTTCGATCTGACGATCTGGATTTTGTGTTTGTTTTCCTCTGTACAGAAGTGTCATATATATATATATATATATATATATATACACAGATGGATCGTGTCCCGGTCAATGCTGTTAGCGTCCCTCGACGTTCGGAACTGGAAGGGTAAGCGTACACTCTGCTTCCCTTTTTTTTTTCCTCTACTTTTATTTGGAGAAAATGTTAGGATATCACATTTAATGGCACATATTTATGTCATATATACGCAGTGGATGTAGCCCGATTGAATAACGATAAATCCATATTATTGTGCGATGAGGCCATGGGGGAAGTGGGCATCCAAAACAACACTTAACTTGTTATAAACGATGTTGTGTTGGAAATGAAATTGGTTCATGCGTTGTACGTACCCAAATAGCTTATTAAGTTATGGGGGGGGGGGGGGGGGGGGGGGGGGCGGGGATACTACCCCAATTAGTGAGAGAGGGTGGGTTCCAAGATTCCATTCCCTCGTATCTAACCTAAAAATGAAGAAAATAACTGATTGATTAGCGGTTAATTCATCAAGAACTCACCTCTTGATAAGTGTAGCCATTGTTTTTTTTGACAATTAAGAGCGACTTGGGAGCAACCTCTCCATAAATGGGGGTAAGGCTAACCGACATTCACCTCTCCCAGACCCTGCGTAAAGCGGGAGCCTTGTGCACTGGGTACGACCTTTTTTTAAGAGCGTCGAATGTCTAGATCGATTCGTTATAACAACCATTTAAGAAAATAGCAGCTAGATAAGTACCCTGTTACAACTTACCATTGCTTGCGTATAATAATAATATGACTTTACCTCTATTTTTGTACAAGGAAGGCCATCACTATATCTAAGCTGCAGGCATGCTTTAATTATTAGTTGTTTCTATTATTTAAATTATTTGTCAAAGTCTCAAATTGGAAAAGATTTCACTTCTAATATCACTAATGCCTATTATGATAAAACATAATACTTAGTAATATGTGCTTTACGTTAGAATCATGTTGATGACATTAGTAGTGAACTATGTTGCGCCTAAAATGTTTATCACCATATACCTCGAAGGAAAATGCTTATAACCCAATATAATTTTCTAACCATATATTTATAATATAGCACAAGCGAGGCTGGGGAACGTTATCGTCAAAGTTCTTCAAAGACATTGCACAAGTGTATTATATTTGCCATCCCCACGCTAGCCGGGTTTATCCAGCTTATGGACGGAGCTGGAACTGCAGTATATCTGTTGTCCACGGAATACGACACGTTAGTGGCTTTGATTGTTGATATTGTGGTTTACATCGGTTCATGGGCACTGGCAGTCAAGATAGCTCCTGAAAATCCAGATTTGTCTGAGTTCATGGATAAGATTAGCCTCTTGTCTGGAACACTTGCCATAACCTTAGAATTGTTGATCATCGTTCCACCTTTGGGGTGGTTCGCCATCGCGGTATGGATCATTTGCCTTGTGATTGCAGTAACAAAGTCATACCATGAAATTGCACATGTTTTGAAAAGTTTGTATCAGCCAGCTGTTGGAGTATGTGGCCAAGTGGCCACCTTTTAATTAAACAAATCAAAAAGAAAAAAAAGACAAAATAATTATGTCTCTTCCTTGTTTTGGGGAAAAAAAAAGGGAATTGGTCTAAAGTTGTCTTGGTCCATGGGAAGTCACGGATGAGTTATTTGAAAGAGAAATAATTGCTATTTTTTATGAAGTGTAGTAATGAAGCCATAAGAGAAGAAAAAACGTAGCAGAAAAAAAGAGAAAAACCAGAGGTGCTGCAGCCCCATTTTGAAGAGAAGAAAAAAAGGTGATTTTCTTTCTTTGTTGGTACTCACTCAATCAAAGTTGTATTTGTGTATTAGCTTTGAGCTTTGTATAGAGAGGAAATTATTCACTATATTTCCCTCTCTATTTGTTTCTTTGGTGAGTGAGAGTTATTGGGTGTATTGGGGTTTTGGGTTGTGAGATTGCCAACACTTTGTAAACTCCCATTTGGTTGATAGTGGATTATTGGGTGAGCTCCTACTGCTCCGAGGACGTACTCCAGTTACACTGACTGTTGAGGAACCTCGTTAAAATCTTGGTGTTCTTTTATATTTTGTTCTTGCATTTTCATTTGATAAATTTCCTGTGGGTTAGCTTGAGTTGGTTCCAACGGGTTTGGTGCTATCCTAGCACAACAATTGGTATCAGAGCACTGGTTGCTCTTGGGTACTGTCTAGTTGCCAAAGATGTCAGACGGGCAAGATGAAAATCCTTTTGGAAGCAGCTCCGGGTTTGCAAGAACTACGGTGCAAAATGCAAAGTTCGAAGTGGAAAAGTTTGATGGCACAAACAACTTCGGGATGTGGCAATGTGAGGTCAAAGATGTGTTGGCTCAACAAGATCTACTTGCCGCTTTGGGAGAGAAGCCAGAAGCCATGTCGAAGTCAGAATGGGAGAAATTAAATTTGTGGGCTTGCTCTTCAATTCGGTTGTGCCTTGCAAAAACTCAGAAGTATTTTGTGATGCGGGAGATGGTAGCAAGTGTGTTGTGGCAAAAATTGGAAGACAAGTATATGACGAAGAGTGCAGAGAACCGGCTACACTTGAAGAAAAAACTCTACCGCTTACAATACAAAGAAGGTACAAAAATGATTAGACACCTTGATGCTTTTAATAAGTTGATTGCCGACTTGTTAAATTTAGATGAGGATATTAAGGATGAAGATAAGGCCTTAATATTGTTGAATTCCTTGCCGGACTCTTATGAGCATTTTGTTACCACTATTATGCATGGTAAAGAAACTGTGAAATTTGAAGATGTGTCAAATGCCTTGATGAATTATGAAATGAGGCATAGAGATAAAAATCATGATAGTACCTCTGAAGCTTTATTTGTTAGAGGTAAGATCATCGGAGAGGAGGTCATCTTCTAGCAGGAAAAAATCACAGTCTCGACCTAGAGGAAACTCTAAAGGTAGAAAACCTTTGGAAAAGGATGAATGTGCCTTTTGTCATAATAAGGGTCATTGGAAGAAAGATTGTCCTAAATTGAAGACCAAAGGCAAAGAAAGTTCTGAAGCTAATGTTGCTGAGGTTGAAACAGATTTTTCTGATTTTGCTTTAACCACTTCCTCATCATTTGATTGTGCTACTAAATGGGTGTTGGATACGGGTTGTACTCATCATATGACTCCTCACAAGGATTGGTTTTCAAGCTTGAAAGAGTTTGATGGTGGCGTTGTGTTCATGGGAGATGACAATCCTTGCACAACAAAAGGGATTGGTACAGTTCGTTTGAAGTT